CGAATTTTTTGCGATTATTTCAACTTTGTTCGACGCGAAAATTGATTTTTTTCACGATTTTTCATCGACTCATTTCAAATTGTGCAATTTTTTAGTTTCCAACGCAGTTTCAAGCAGTCGAAATATGAAATCGAGAACAGTGGTATTCTATTTTTCAGTTGAATGTAGAGAAATTGACTTGTGAGAAATGAAAGTTCGTTTGTTATTTTTGTAAAAAAATTTTTTTCGGCAATCTTGTTAGAATTTTACACGGATGAAAAGTACATACACCTGTTGTATTATGAAGTTTTCTTGTTGTTAATCACTGTATTAATTATAAGGTAGATGTCGTTAGCAAATAAATAAAGCAATTTGTGACTTGAGATAATTAATCAGAAATACAGGTGCGCCTTTACGTGTCTGCATTAATTATATGATTTTGTTGATGTGAAGACAGAACTATGTGTTTCAACCAATGTTGCATTTTGAGGAATATAATTAGTTGGTTGAAAACAGCTGGCTGTAGAAATATTACTGAATTACCTTTCTGACCGATCGTGCAAACGTGGAACATCTGACATCCAGCCTCAACATCCGCGTAATAGCCACCAATCACCTTCCCCTGACACGAAAAGTTCGTCTCCGGCAGGTTGTCGAAGTCCAAATACTTGTCAAGTAACAGAAAACCAAGTAAAATTGAAAGTTACTCGTCCAAAGTAAATTTCTAATATTTTTCAGAAATTTCAGTATACAGAATATTTCGAAGATTTGTGAAAAAATCGAAAAGAATTTCCTAGGAAAATTAAATACCTATTTTGGAAAAATTGCTAATTTTTGCTACATTCTAATTTTTCTTCATTTCCAAGTGTAATGCATTTCTGTTTCACTAGTGCGATCTCACATTAAAACGTCTTCAACATAACAATTATTATACTTTTATTGGCAACATTTTTAGTTATTATATTTCCATTGCAAATATTTCTAATTATTAATATTTTTAGTTATTATATGTTCATCGCAAATATTTGTAATTATTATACTTTCATTGCCAATATTTTTAATTATTACTTTATTTTTATTGAATACATTTCTAATTATTAATATTTCAATTATTGTTATAGTTTTATTGCGAACATTTTCAATATTTCGAACAGATTCTAATACTTACGCCAGGTTCCCCCGCGCTGCATAACAAGGAGCCATGCTGGAGGTTGAAGATCGACAGTAAAACTGCAACAGAAAACCGAATCACACCCCAATTAAGTCATTTGCAATGATAATAAAAGAAAGGGGGAGAGAGAATATTCGTAAGTAAAAGTGTAAAGAAAAAGGGGAAAACTAATTTTCATGTCAGAGAACACGAAAGAAAGGACTGCGTGTTCGGCGCGAGGATAATTTGCCGGACTAATTTATGCGTTTGCGCAACACTTCTACCCGGAGACCCTGTTACACCAGTTACAGTTATAATTACGAGCAACTATCGACACGCACCGAGGTCGTTGCTCTGGAATATTCTATGCTTGTCTATTAAAAAATTTACATTAAAATTTATATTCAAATTTATACTTATTATTATATTGTTATATTTACGTTAAGCTGTGAGCTTCTAAGAGTGATAATTCTCAGTTGTATATCGAAATAATCTATTTTGTGAACAAAATTGAAAAACAACTGAAATATATACTCAGAAGAATACAATAAATAGCAAAATTTTACAAATTCAGATTGCTAAATTTTTCCACATTCACCAAAACCACTTTTACTCATTCACATCACTCAACAATGTCATCCTCTATTCAAAAAGAACTCTCTTATTTATTCATTTGAACGGTAAAAAATAATTTAATGCTTATTATGTATGTAATTATTCTTTCTTATTCTCGAGACTTTCGAACTATTTCAAAAAATACCCAAATTGCATAAATTGTATGAAACTTATAAACACTAAATTAAAAATACCTAAAATGCATCAATTCTATCAATTCCACTCAAAAATACCTATGCACTACGATCATTCGTGCAAATACAAAAAAAATCTCCAACCTTCCAAGTCGAACAACGTTCAGAATCGAAAAGCTTCCAAACAACCAGACATGCTTTCTTTCACACTTCCTTCTTCAATGCATCTCACTGACACATTCCATCGCATCTCATTTTCATCGTTAAACAACCGGATCTGCACGACAAGAAAAAAGGAAAAAAGGAAACAGATTTCAGAGTGACCTGTCACCGGATCCGACAGGAGCATTGATTTCAATCGGTGGTCGTCAGAAAAATGGTTACTAATAAAATAGAATGTCGCTGATCGAGTGGCCAGTTGTAGGCCGAGGTCATCCGGTGTGCACGCGGGCCATCCAATCACAATCGTCCCCGGATCCTGTCGATCTCTCGCGAATCTAATATTCGCGATCGAGGTCTTTTGCATAGCTGCAATCGATTTCCATGATATCGTGGCTCCCGCGTGGGCAAGATCGTGTGAAAACGGAAGTCTGCAGGTTGAAAAGACGAGAAGAGGGAGATTTTGGGAGGGGCTAATAAGTGTCGAAAAATCAATTTTCTTTATTTTTTTGTACAGATTGGAAGTGCAACATCTCGAAAATGTTATTAACCTGTTAACTGAGAAGGGAACTTCGGCAACCCGAAAATTCCGATTTTGTCGAAAGTTTGCAGATTTGTAGGGGACCTCGAGGGAAGTATCGGGCAATTTTTTTTGGCCCTTTTTCGGTTCTTCGGGGTGAAAATAGCCCTTGAATGAAGATAAGTGTTACCTTACTTCCCTGTATATCTTTAAAAATGTAATAGATATAAAAGAATGTTTATAATAACAATTTAATGGCTTTTTATGCCTTATAAGACGATGCTATGGAAAAGTATGGTAATATATAAGTAAATCCAATTTCCATGCATATGAGAATATACGCAATATTCGTAGAAATATTGAACGCATAATTATATAAAAATGGTATATTATTCATATATGAAAAACAAACAATTCTTTTATATAATGGCTTTGCTTGTTGTGATTTTTTACTCACGAGTAGTTTAACGCCTAAGTTCGGTTTCTGGTCAAATTGACCCGAACAGTGTACGAGGGTTGAAAGGTTAATAATAATCATTCAATAAAATCAACGATATAGGCGGAAAAAAGTTCTAAAATAAGCTCCTACGTTTAGCCTTCCTAGGTGTACGTAACCCCTTAAATGAGACCATCAGTATAGTGACCTAACCTCAAAAAGTTTGTTTCCGACAGTGCGAAATGAAAGTAAAAAATTTACTACAACAGTATTAAAAGTGACATTGAACAAAATTCTTTTATTGTAGCCTAAGGATGCCCCTTTCCATCGAAGAAAGAATTATTATGATACGTTTACTAGTTTAGCCAAAAAAAATTGCTAAAGATCCCTCATTTTCCGGGCTTCCCCCTTAACCTTTCAAAATCTGGCAAAAAGATCCACATATTTTGTGACTTAATTTGCTTGTATTTATTGTAAACAGTGTGAAAATATAGTAAATAGTGAAAATTAGCTTTTTGTTTTTTGACAAATAACTCTATCACGGGTAAATGCGAATGTTGATTGCGAGATGCTAAACGGAAAACTATACAAGGAAAACATGGGAAATTATTGAAATAAAATTTGCTGATTGATGACGTGGTTTGGTTGGTAATGTGTGTTTTCATTGCATCATGATAAGAATTAGTCGAAAGCGTTTGATTCGAGGGGTTTTTACATGTAGCAATTATCGTTGATAAAATTATCCGAAAGTATTGCAATAAAATAACAATCTAAGTAAAGTTGTCGAATTACTATTGCAAAAATTGCTAAACTGAAAGTGCGCAAATTTTTAATACTGAAAAATATACATGGAAAATATTGAAAATCATGGAAATGTGATTAGAATTTTTTAAACAATAATAAATTTATTGCTCCCTTTCTTACGAATTTTAACTGTGCATTTTAAATGATCTACGAATTCCTATCAGAAACAAATTTCATGTTTTCGAACTTCTATTAAAATATTGTGAAATTTTGTATAATAAAATGGATCATTTAAAATCGTTCAATTTTTTATCTCGAGTAATATCGTATCAATTAACAATATTGAAAACCATTAAAAAACTTGTTTAAACGAAAGGAAAGAATTTCTGTATAAATAAAAATTCGCAATGGTCGAAACTCCAGTGAACTTCGAAAAAGAAAAGAAAAAAGGAATCGTATTTCTAAAAGCAACAACTCCTCTCAATGAGAAGAAAAACACTTTCTATTGTGACAGTATTTACATCGAGAGAATGATTTATCGAATTTCGGTTTCTACGATGGAATTCCGACATGTGGGACCACGCTTTCCATTTCTTCCACCTTTCCCTTTCTAACCTCTTCTGAAAATTTACAATACGCGTATCCCAACTGTACACGATACACCCACTTTTGAAACGAATTTTCGTCAGTTGGAACCAGAAGTGTGTCATTGGTCCAGATACTTTGCAGAACTTATTATAAGAGCACGCATTTGTAATGTTCACATTTAACCCAGTTCCTTATGAAAACTGTCTAAAATGGGGTCAGAAAAGAATATCACTAATGAGCTTTCCAATTTTTTTTATTTTTCATCAAATATTCAATTGTACCATTCATTTGTACAACCTCAATGAAAGATTCTTAACAATGTATCTGTTTTCAGTTTGAAGTAAAGTGTGTCAGTGACACAAATTCCTGCCGAACTTCTTAATTTTCCTTTTCTTTCACCACGTATAATTATACTTGTTTATACTTATTTCGAATTACGTTAAATAATATATCGAACGAACTTACCAGTGAGAATTAAAAAAAAAAGAATTTTTCTTCACCTTACAATTAACGTAACAATTTGAATTTTTATGTCTAGCTAATATACCGGGTGTAATATTCGAAAATGTGTAAATAATAAATTATCAGGAAAATTCCGAGAAGTTGTACGAAAGAAAAGTGTCGTTATTTACTAAACTTTACGTTCAATAATTACGAAACATTATCATAACGCGAAAAGGATTTTTCTCTCAGGCTCTCGCCTACGAACCTGATGATCGCTCTTTCATCTCGAGAAAGCTGCGCGATGTTATTAATGACATTGCCTCCGGTGAAATTGACGGAAACTGAAGTCACGTGACATAATCAGAAATATCTGGGCGAAAGGTCAACGAATCTGCGAAGAAGTTTTAAACTTTCAGGCGAAAAGTTGATTCTTCGAACATTAAGCCGATCTTTTCCTTGTTTTTATCAGGAAGACAATCAATGGGATTTTATTTCAATTTCTCTGGAATTTTATAACAAAGATTTCTTCAGTGATTCCTCGTTGTTTCTTTGAATTGAATTTCAGCTTAATTTTGAATTCTGAAATTTATTTTTTATCTAAAAGACAATCGGTGGAATTTTATTTCAATTTCTCTGGAATTTTATAACAAAGATTTCTTCAGTGATTCCTCGTTGTTTCTTTGAATTGAATTTCAGCTTAATTTTGAATTCTGAAATTTATTTTTTATCTAAAAGACAATCGGTGGAACGTTTTTTCTTTAAATTAAATTAAGTTCATTCATTTAATTATTTACCTGTTTGATTGCTTACTTAATAAAATATTCAACTCCAGTTCAATCTATGTTTCTCAATATTTAACCCGGATTATTAAAATTCCTTACGAGTATTTCTCTATTCGACAAAATATCACGAAAATCCACCGATTTGCTCACTTTATATATTCGCCTGGTTGCCTGTTTATTTATTTCTTTAAACGTCTGATCATTCATAAGTCACGAATAAAAGAAAAAAGAAAAAGCAAGAAAAGTCAACAGACTTCACTATTAAGTCACCTTATATACATGCAAATAATCAATTAGCACCGCGTGTTCCTCGAAACACTCGAATGATCAATCATCGAGCCATCAGCGTGAAATTAGCAAGATCACACGTTCCACTTCTCGAAACGAAAATGTAATTTCGTATCGTGGCAAAAGAAGAGAACATTTCCAAATCAGATTCGTTTCTTCACAAGCAAACTGACACAAGGAGGACATGATCAGGGATCGAGCATGATTATATACCTCACTCGCGTCATCGTCAGAATCTTTCATCACCTACCCGGTATCATCTGCGTTCGCGCAATTTATCTGCCATTCAGATTCCAATCGTTAAGTTCGTTAATCGATGCCGCGCGTTGCATACCAGAAACGCACACGCATCTGCACCTTCTTCCCTCTA